TTTTTTTTTTTTTTTTTTTTCTCTCCTTTTTTTTTTGTCTTTTTTCGTGACCGGCAACGGATCGCAACCCTCAGTGTTGCGCCCGGACCGGACCGGGACCGGCAATGGGATCGCAACCCTCGGTGTTGCGCCCACACCTCGCTCAGCCAGTGAGCGGCCGGTCTGTATGTGGGATCCGAACCCTCGGCGGGAGCGTCGCCACACTCTCAAGCGGCGCACTGTAGCAGTGCGCCACCGGGCCGGCCCCCTAATCTGGTTTTTAAATGTTTAAATAACAAGAGAAAGGGATGTGATTATAACGTGATTCATAAGTAATGGTCCTAATTTTTTTTTTCAAGTTGTGAGCAAATGACCATGCTACATGAGCAATTACGAAAAGCCTTTGAAGGAATCTAAGTATAGGCATTCTTGTCATTTTTTAATCCTTTGAGTATATTATAAAAGTTTAGTGTTTTTATGATGATATCCATCATTATAATTTTAAAATATTTTCTAAGTAACTGACATGCATTTTGTCTAAACCTGAAATAGCAATATAGGCCCCTTTGAAGAATGGCAAGTGGTAGACCCTGGCCAAAGACAGAAAATCATCTCAGACCTCTCAGAAATAATAGCACAGCTTTCAAAAGTGGTGATGGATTGAGCTCATGTCTACTTTCATTCCCTCCAAAAATCCTAGTAAATAGCAGTAAGTGGGTTTTTTAAGGTCTAAACCCACAAGGATGAGGAGAACAATAGGAAAGACAATGGCAGTGAAACTTGGGAAGTTGGGAAACAGGTGGATCAGTAAATAGTGTAACAGAACCCGAAGACTGCTGTAGGAAAGCCAAGAATCAACGTATACAATAGAACTTCCAAAAACCTGGCAGCATCAGCACCTATGGAAATGAGGTTGGAAGTGTTGCTAAACTTGGGAAGACTGGTTGAAATATGTTTAAGAAGAACTCAGGTCCCCCAAGCCCTGTCCTACATCCCACTGCTAGGAGATTTTCTTTCCCTACCCTGGCAGAGATACTGGAGGTTTGCTCTGGGAAATAGAGGCTCTCTGGACTGAGGAACAGCAGGTATGCTGAGGCAGAGGGCCCACAGTGAAGTGACATCAGCATGCTGAGTGCCCGGATTCCCAGCCCTCTTATCTCCCTAGCTACCAGAAAGCCAGCAATCAGGCCTTCACTCTCTAGGAGCAAATTAGAGGATCTTTCTTTGGGGAAGTGGGCGAGTTCAAGAGGAAGGACCAATTTAAATGGCCCAGCCAGGTAATCCTCAGTGAGGCTCACCGTCAGCAGACTCCACTCCCATGCCAAGAGCTTTCAGTCAGCTGTTTAGTCCCACGTATGTAAATGGGAACAAACAACGAAGCATTACCAGATAACTGGTAATCTAACCAGCCTACACTCTGGTATACAAACACAAGAAGGTGACTTGGAGGAAGAAAGACTATATAGGGAATGGACCACTTCCAAAAATCCTAATAGTACATGGGAGTTCCTTAACCCTTTTCTCTCTTTTTGTGAGTGTCTAAAATTTTCCATTGTAATTTGAAAAACTTCCCATAAAGGTAAGTAGTGTTGCACCAGCCACTCTGCTCAGTAAAAGTTGTCTCTTTATGAAATCAGTATCTCATATAATTAGTGAAAAGCCACCAATTTGGGCAGATTCTGTCTGGTTCTCAGACATTCCCACCAAAAGGACATTGCTAAGATGAATTATTTAGTCTAGCATTTAACTGAATGACTAAATGTGTCCTGATTTAGTTTCGTTTTTAAAACGTCATCTGTTTTAAATACTGTTTCTACTTATACCCACAAACATGGGAAGACATAGTTATTCTCAGTTATTCATAGATATAGGATGACTTAAAAATATGTTTTTAGCATCTAGCACTGGACCTAACACATATTAGGTTAGTGAATGTTTGAGTGAATGCATAGATGAGCTCTGCTGTGTAATCTACAACAATTTTTAAAAACCAAGATACCTTGAGAAGCTGAAGAAACAACCCTTGTAAAAGCAAAAGGTGATTCCATAATTTTATTCAGCTTTTCATCACCAAGGTTAAGCTGTGGTTCTGAGTGATTTTGACTTCTGAATTAAAGTAGTTTTTGCCCTTTTTTCCTAACTCTTAATAGGATCTTTCCAGTTAAAGATGTACCTCTGGAGACTGATGACCTTACCAATTGGCTCTATCAGCGGTTTATTGAAAAAGAGGACCTCTTATCTCATTTTTATGAAACAGGTACATAGTATCTTCTATTACATACGTTTCTGAAATTATCAATAATTTTAAATGTATACTTTAAAAGAAATAACCATTTTTCGATTCTAAGATATCTGAAAGGAATCAAAGTATTTCTATATATTTAAGAATTTCAGTTTGGAATTTTTGTAAAGATGAAATGTTAAATTTAAATTTACTTAGGCTGTTACTTCGTCTGCCTGTGTGCAAGGATCATATGATGAGTATAATGTCACACAAATGGATATAAATCATAGGAACAGAATCGGAGGATGACTACAATCATACATATGCAGTCATATGGGGTGTTTTTTGAAGCAGCAAATAACATTCTAGTTTTGCATTGCATGTGATTGTTTAATATCATATTGCAGTTATCTGTGCTCAGTTTTAACTGCATTTTTATATTCCTATTCTTTTCTTTACATGTAGGGATAAAGTTTACTTTTTAAGTTCTCATGTTTGCATGTGATTGTTTAATATCATATTGCAGTTATCTGTGCTCAGTTTTAACTGCATTTTTACATTCCTATTCTTTTCTTTACATGTAGGGATAAAGTTTACTTTTTAAGTTCTCATGGATACAATCTTAGACTTTTCTCCTTGGGAAAAAACAAGAGTCTATTTACGCTAAGGTGCCTTCTATTCTTAATATTCTCTATGTTCTATGAAAACTGCAAGGCAGTGAGAAAGAGGGGAGGAAGGGTGAGGGAGGAAGAAAGGAAGTTAGGAAAGAAATTGACGCTGGTAGAATGCCAGGCACTGCCAAAGTGCTGTCACAAATTGCTATGTTGTAGGCCTGTTTTCAGCACCTACAGTAGGGGGAAAAGATGAACAGAAAGTTGTCCTGGATCTGAGGATGGCCATGGGGTTTTAGATTAACAGAAGGTTGAGAAGGCATGAGATGATAAGAGGCCAGCAAGGTGTCTCAACCTCAATCTCTTGCCTTACAGTATTTGCCCTAAATTGTAGCAACAATAACGGAAACCTCTTTTTAAGACAGCTATCTCCATATTAGACCTTGAAACTTGAAAGTGCACTCTATAATAATCACTTGTGAGAAGTAAATCCCCTCATGAATCAGCTTACCCTGGGGGATTATCAGCAAGGACAAAGACTATTTGAAATGCTGAAAAGTGTTATGGAGATGACCTTAGGTAATGTTGCTCTGAAATGGTCTAGCTTTCCTTTCCAGAAAAAAATTTAAAGATGTGTTTACTTTGTATTTCTTCTTTTTATTAAGATATATTTCATGAAACATATTGCCTTTTGATAATAATGTCAGTATTAGGCAATCAGTTTTTTGTAGCAAAAAAACATTTAATTTGTAAGTAGGGGAATTAGTATGAATTATGCTATTTCAGAAATTATTAATGTCAATTTCCTACATCCTGTGTCCTGACTGCTGTGGAAACCTCTAGGGATCCAGTGGGAAACTAGGCAGCTAGAGTGCCTGCACTCACGCAGACTGTATTCCAGTGGGAGACAGATGTAAACAAGTTTGTGGAAAGAAAGAAAGAGATCAAGACCGTCTGGATTGGGGAAAGTGCCAGGAAGGAAATAAACATGGAGGTGAGAGAGAGTGACTAGGATCAGGGGGCAGCTGTTTTTTCTGATATGGGAAGGATGCAGATGAGCCAACCATTTACTGAGGTGGAAGAGAAGCATCCCAGGCAGAGGCTCAGAGGCAGGAAAAGGCTAGGCAGTGTGGAAACTGTGCTTCAAATGAGACCTCTCTCTAAGATCTAAGAAGGCTCAGGAAATGCTTTTAAAATAAAACAAAACAAAGCACCACAACTCTAGTTAAAATAACGTTCACCTTTTATTCCAGGAGACCTACCACTACAGTAAAACAAATTAATATTTCCCTCTTGTCTTTTAGGAGCTTTTCCACCTCTAAAGGGCCATAAGGAAGCTGTTTCCAGGGAAATGACCCTCAGCAACATGTGGATATTTCTCATACAGTCTTTTGCGTTTTTGTCAGGCTATATGTGGTACAACATCATTCGGTATTTTTACCATTGCCTGTTTTAGGAATTGACTTTGGACTTGTCAAAGTCACCACCATAGGAGTTCAGACTTTCATAAGTGTGAAATATTTTACATGTGCAAATCAGAATATATAAAAAAGAAGCAAAGAAAATTCAATGGATGGATTAATATTTATCCCCCTTTGGGATATTTTAAAATTCTACTACAATGAGGATCAGTAATATACCTGCTAATATATTTTAAGAACTTTTCATGTTTTAAAAAGATACACTCTACCCCATATATAAGCAAACATCACATTTGGAGAAGAGGAAATTATAAAACCATCCTAGAAGACTATCCGAGAGAAATTCTGTTGCCACCAGATATACAGTAATTGATCATTTAGTTCCAGCTCAGAAAGTTGTACTCATCCTCTTAGCTAGTAGTGTATGTTAGGGCAGTTCTCTAGAGCACCGCCATTCCCACCACCTCATGCTGCGTTACTAGTAACCTGGAGGGGAGCTGCTTGGCACCTTCTGAAGAACTGTTTCCCTGTCATTTGCAGTAACAAACTCCAGTCCTCAACAGTTAACTGAGGTACGGTGTTGGCATTCTCTGTGGGGGAAAAGCAGTGTTCGCCAAACCCATTCTGGTACGAGAATGTGTCCTTTACAAAAGCTAGCTCAGCCCAACACCTTGTTTACATGCTCTAGTGCTTTCCCTTGTATGAGTGCGGGGTCACCTAATTTCTCTTTTTGTGTAGAAGGCATATCATAGACTGATAATTGTATTTTATAAAATGCACTTTTATCAGATGCAAATATAGCAAAGTAATATAGCCTGAAAACCAGTGTAAGCAGAATCAGTGAGTCGGATTCTTGAGAGGCTGTCTTGTCTCTGCGTGTTTTTTGTCTGCTGATGTTCTCCAGTGCTACCCTGCATCAGGCACCACCCTGACAGGATGCCTCTATTTGTAGCTTAGAGGCTTTTTTTTTTTCTTTTCCATTTTGGCATTAGCACTAAATGCATTTGGGGATGGTTGAAAGAAATTAATGTAAAGCATTTAAATGATCAATTTAAGGGGAAATAGGCTAGTTTATTAGAAAAATAAGGCTGGTGGCTTATAGCGACAAGTTCTCACATGGTATTCCCAGAACCTGTGCAGATGGTAGCCTGTAGTAATATCAAGGTGCCTCCCCTCTCAGGGTGAATGTAACCAGGAGAGAGACCAGCACAGAAGGCTTCTCAGTCTCTTCCAATTGCTTTTGAAGAGTATAAAGTCAAGCTTCTATTTTTAGAAAACCTTTTTTATTTGTCACTATGTTCATGTGATTTACCTCACAGGGGAATTGAACTCTTCTTGAAAAGTGCTGGTAGTGCATCAGTGTTGAGATAGAGTATGTTTTTTGGTTAGGATTGTAAGACTGTTAAGATCCTAGCAAGTCAGTGGTAGTTTTCTGTGATATGAGCATTGTAGATTCCCCTGTTGTCACTAATCACACAAATAACAATTCTGAGAAGTAGGCTATAAAACAAACATAAATGCTTATGTCTTCTGTTTTTTTATTTAAAAACCAAAAAACTGAAAGGATGTGAATTTTCCCACAATTATGTGGGAAAGGTAAAGCAACACCAAATACAAGCCCACAGCAGCTTCATCTTCAGGATAACTCAGTGTGTATGTGAAAGAGAACTGAAATACCTCATTGAATATTACACTACTGGTAAAATGCAGAAGACAGTGTTAATGCATTTCATTTGGTAATCACTGTTATAAAATGAAATTTTCTTGAAACCTGAGCATTTCACTATGTGTTCTACAGTGACAAGTGAATAAGTGAAACCAATCTCAATTTAGAGATATGGATATTAGGAAACCAGGTAGCAGCTTAACGATACTTATATTTGAGGCCTACTAAATCACAAGATGAAATTGTTCATTTGAGAGGTTAATCAGACATCTGGGGGAGAAGTTGCTCACTGTCAAGCATAACATGCACAGTCCTAGCTAATAGACCTTTTCCTCATTGCTTAAGCGAGCTACCAGGTAGAATGACCAGTTCTCCTATCCAAAAAAAATGCACACATGCATCCATAAATGTGACTTAGGGCCACTTTTGCCATCACTCCAAAGGAACATGATATTGTTAAGTATACTCTGCACATATTAAGCAAACCATCCCGTAAGATGCTTTACTTTTCAAGCACAGTGTCATTTCCACAGCCTCTAAGGTGACAAATAGCAATAGATATGCGAGTTAATTTTTGAAAATAGATTTGTGAGTTGTAAATAGATGTGTATTTGATCTGCCCTATCCCTCTTTGATTCTTTATCAACATGCTGTCTCTCTTCTGTTTGAAAATAAGTTTGTTTGAGAGCATTCATAATGCTTTCCTTATCAGTAACTGGAGTTCTGCTTGCACTAGGGAATGTAAAAAAGAGAATCAGTGTTTTTAAATGGCAATCTGGGGAGAAAGCAATGTGCCACTGTACAGAACTGAATAAAAATTCCTAATTTGTACTTTCTTTGTGAAGTGAGATGAAAGGAGTATACATTTTGTTAAGGGAAAAGAAAATAAAACTGTGCCAGTTTTATACAAGTAGCTTGTAGAATCTCAGCACTCCTTGGCTTGGCTGGACTGCCTAAATTCCCACGGCAGCCTGGGTTGAGAACTCATTCTGGAATCCTGGGAGCATCTGCTTGGCCACAGGAAGGTCCAGTGACTAACAGAGTGACCAAGGCAGTTCATTCTTAACTTCAGAAACAATTACTGGTATTGAAATATGCATATATTGTTGGGGAACCTATAAGCAATGGAAGGTAAAGAAAAACTACAGAATGGAAAATGATGTTTTGGGTGAGCAAACAAATTAGTTGAGAATATAAATAGTAGATTTTTTTAAAAGGTAGCCATGAGTTCAGATCTGTCATATTATTAAATAGTTTTTGATATTACAACCAATGCTTAATTTTCCACAGTAGAGGAACTAGGAATTGCTAGATAATTACTGTATGGTTAATCCAGTCAATAAGTCATAGGTAGGCCAAAAAAATAATTTTATTTAGGAATTTGAATTTTTATTCTCATCAAACTTTTTTTTCTTCTAGCAATGCTTACTAATTAAAAAATGATTTGAGTTGTTTGTTAATTTCTTTTGCCTATGTGTTTATGACTGTGCTAATGAATAGTGAAATTGATATGGACAGACAGCTGTCAGGAAGAGGAAGTACAAAAGCCTGAATAATCAAGAGTTGGTGGTATTGAAATTGTTCTCAAGCCTTTTTATGAAAATGAAATCTTAAATCACCAAATGTAAACCTCAGAACACTGCTCTAGGGTTGCTTTCATTTGGACTGGTGTTAAGAGCGCCTCTTCGTTCTTTGCTTGTATTGCTCACTTCTTGTGGCTTTGTCTTAGTAATGTTTTTTGACAATCACTCCCTAAGACTCTTCTGAACTAGTTGGACCTGGTCATAGTCGTAGAAAGTAGTCTTTAATCATTGGTAGTCTTCTTCGATTCTTTTTATATTTAAAAAGAAAATGTTTTATTTGCACTACTGAATAGGAGGAGTTAATTATTTTTTTTTGTTCTTTTTTTGAAGTCATTACACAGGACTTCACTCCAGTTATCATTATGAGCATGTCTGGCTCTGGTCACAAAGAATGGATAAAAATGGTTTGTTGTATTTTTTGCCCTGCAGTGCTGTGAGCCTTACATCTGTTAACATGAAAGGCAAAGTCAAGAGCAGCACTGAGCAGCAGGTTTACTTGTTCATTTTATGCATTGTAGAGACTAATACGTTTGGGACCAAAACCACCTGGAAATCTCTAGATCCCAAAAGGACCGGGTGTTTTCTGGAGTAGTCATTTGTTGGTGCTTTATTGTAATCATTTTGCACCAATCCCCAACAATTAGGAACTAGACCCTGGGAATCAGCTGAGGGTGCTGAACTGTTGGGGGAGGGTGACTGTAGCCATATGGAAGATAAAATATGGGTTTTTCTGCAAAATTTCCACCTGAGGATTTTTACATTTAATATTTTTTTAAAACAGTTTAAATAGCAAAAAAATTTTAAGCGTATTCTAGTTGCAGAGTATGCACACATATCTTGAATGGCTTTATTTTTATTGTGTAAAACTGTTGAACACAAATGACTGTGATGCACAAATTCTTTCCATGTGAGGAGTCTATGCATTTTACAGTAACTTATTTTGATTGGGTAATGAGACAGTTATACATTCAACTGCCATTATTTTTATTAAGTGCTTTCATTTTCTTTACAGTTATTACAAAGTTGTATTTATTTTATACAGACGGATTTTCATTTTCCTACTGCTGTAATGTTTATTACTTCAGCTTGTTGACCTTTCTTTCTATGTGTGTTTGCATGTTGTAATGTGTGATAAGAATGAATGTAAAGGCTGTGGCAACTGTAATTAATTTCTGTAAAGGGCTGGTCACATGTGGATCTGGTCTATGAACACATTTGGGATGATTTTAGTAATCAGATCACCTTTTCAGAGATGTAGATGTGAATGCCAAAAGAAGCATTTTCTCAACAAAAATTAATAGCTGGTTCTATTTTTTTTTTAACCTAGAAAAAAATAAAGTTGATTTTTTTCAAGTAAAGTGCCCTTAATTCTTAGTAGTGGTGGCAGGGGGTAGGGGGTGTTTGTGTTTTACAGGAGCCATGTGGGCATTAACATCTGTAAGCATGAACTTAGAGCATACGTGGCAGTTGGATGCTGAGGACAAACTGAAAAACCAAATGAAAAACATCAGACCTCCTCCTTTGGTTTTAAACTATTTCCCCCCTCCTCTCCTCCCCATCCAGTGGTGTGCTGGTAAATGTTTGACAGTCCATTCTCCTGGGAAAAAATTATGTATACAAGTATACATAAGCTTGTTATAAATTTTGCTGATAACAAAGATGTATAATACAATTAACAAATAATAACATATAAATACTGTATTGTAAATTCCATATAGCCAATTGAATCTCACAGAATACTTAATTGCTTTTTGCTGAACTCTTATAGCCAACCTATGATTACATTTCAACCACGATTTGAAAAAAGGTATTACATCATAATCCACTCACTCATTTCCCAGTAAATTTATTGTCTTTCAATCTGATACATGATCTACTGTTAAACGGTATCTTACCCTGGTACAAATTATACTCATTAAGCTAAAACTACTTTTAGCTTCAGCACTAGTTATAAGTTTATGTAATTTAATTTTAATAATCACTTTTAACTGCTTGCAGTATTCTAAAATTTAATGATTGGCTCTTGGGAGCCAGTAGGAGCTGTCTCCAGCACACCACTGCTCTGTCCTATTTTTGTTGTTGTTGTTTTTAACTATTAATATTGAATAAACTTCTCATAGTTAATCTCACTGGTCTCAGGAAATTCCTATGACTGACCCTGGCAGGGGCCTTAAAGTGTGGGAAAAGCATTAACATCAGTCCTGCAGAGCGAGATTTTGATTTTTGAAGAATATGATAAAAGCAGACTTTTCCTGAAGTACACGGGAAGCTTGCAAATTTCTAAAGTTGGTTTTATGCTTTCATTGTTCAAAGCTAGTTAAAAAGGTATAGGCATCTCTAAGATTTTGATTTAAGCATTTAAAACATCGATTTTTTTGTTTAAAACATAGATTGATTCCTCTGAAAAATTTAAATGTATTTAAATATCTCGCACAATCTACCAAATGAGTTAAATAGTTATTGTTCAGTCTACCTCTTCTTTTTCTATCTGGATTTAGGGAAGACAGAGAACAGATTGGGACAGAGACCTGAAAGCAGATTTGAAGCACTCAGAGATCTATTGCTGACCAGCCCTATTCCTCATGAGTTGGGGGGGAGGGGGGAGGGAGAAAGCCATTGTTTTTAATTCCCACTTAATATGAATACATTTGTTTTTAAAATGTTTCATCCTGCTGAAATAATGTATTTTTTAAAGGGGAAAAAATCCTTTTTTGGCTCTTAAGAAGTAAGGTGTATGAGCAGGTACGACCATATCATAACATGCTGATATGATAGAGATCAATAAATTTTTACCTCTCAGGATTTGGGTAACCTTGTTCTTAACTCTTACAGGCTTGAGAAACATAATCTAACTTTTAACTGTTCAGATCACGTAGACACACAGACAGAACATGGGGGAAGGGTTGGCTAACCACTGGAAATGAGACAGGCTCCTTTCATAATCAAAAACCTACTCTTAACCAGGTATGTAAAATTAAACCCATTTTACAAAAGAAGAAATTGGAACAATGTTTTCTGCTAGTACACATGGAGCATATCACAGAGCTCATTCCTGAGTTTCCCCCTGGGAAGATTTTGTTGCCTCTCCTTGTAGGTGTGAGGCTCACTCCAGATGGAGATGGTCAGGTTCTCACTATTTCCTTACCTGAGGCAGGAGAACACTCAGCCATCCTCCTGATTTTAGCAGCTATCTTAGTGGTGTCACTGAGAAAACATGGGGCTGGGATTCCCCTAAAATATCAATTACTGCATCTCCATCCCTTTATTTCATTTTTGATGCATAAACTCCCTGAGAAGGGTCTTATCTTCAGTTGACACTATCAGGACCAGCCGATGGACAGTTGAGGGAAAAGAAAATAGGTACCTAGAAGTACAGAGATCAGAAAAGCTTGGAATGAGTGCTAGGAAGAGGATCCCAGGAGTGTTGTAAGACAACGGAAGGCCAAAGGCTGCTGTCTACAAACAGGTGCACATACCCCTGATACACGAAGACTCCCTAAGGAGTATTCAAACGAACAGTAGTCCTAAGGAAATCAACTTCCATGTGGACTCTGTCCTAAGAGTGCCATCCCCGAGGACTCACCTATAGAGAGCCCACCTCCCACTTAACTGCCCACTTTGCAGAAAAAAAGGCATACCTCTCAGTCATTAAGCATCTCTCCCCAGGAGGCCAAACAAAGTGACAATTCAAAATATTGGTGACACAGTAGCCTCTTGTAATCAAAGCATTTATAAGCTCACAATCGAGCTTTTTATCTTTCCCTGATTTACACACATTCTAGTGAGGACAAAGGATGGCATTAGAAATGGGGCGTTTGGACTTGTATTGGATGTACTGAATTCTGATAGGTTTAGTGTGGGACAATGAGAGCAATGGCAGCTCAGGGCTTCCCAAAGCACAAAAATGGGAGCTACCAAGACTTCTTAGGGCTTAGGACTGCACAGCGCCACGTTTGCTGCTGTGTTTGGTTAAAGTGAGTCGGGGCGAGCAGATTCAATGTGGGGTGTCTACAGAAGGATGTGAGTACCAGGAGGCACCATCTTTGAAGGTCAGCTACCACAGCCAGCTGTTTAATTAAAGAACACTGGATGACTTCAGAAGAGTTTTCACACTTTAGCAAGTTTGCCTGTAATTCCCATTAGTTGGAAAACTTTTTGTTTTCAAATACTTTAAGAGGATTAGCTCTAGATCCATCACTCATAAATCACATTAATCACATGAACACTTAGCTAAAAGAGTAAAGGTTTCATCTGGCAGTCATCTTTATACTGTTTTTAACACTGATTGATGCATGACTCATTTAATATTAGAATTTCAGAGCTAGTAGGAACCTCAGAAATCACCTTATTTGGGGATGGCGGACTTCATTTGAGTACAATTTTGATCCAACATTTGTTGGCATTATATGGCTACTCAATAGAATTGTGAGGACTAGAACCAGCTCTCTTGAATTCCATTTAAATGCTTTCCTGACAACAACAGATTGTCTTTGGGTTTCTGTTTTTAGTAAATAAGAACTTAAAAGATTAAATAAACTTGTCAAAGAATGATAGATCTAAAAGCTTCTATAGTTACTTTTCCTCAATTTTAAAGTAAACATAATAGTCCCAGAACCCTAGAAGATAAATTTTTAATAAACGTTCCCCTCAGCTGCTGCAGAGATACAATTAACCACTTTTAAAAAGCCTGAAATCCATGATTTTTATCTTTTTGGATATGGAAGTGAAATGCGTTTTGTTTTTGATTTTGTCCTGTACGAAAATAGAGAATGCCTTCATTTCAGATTGGAGGGGATAGAGATTTCAATCTCATAATGGGTCCTTTTACTTGTGAATTCCAGGTATGAATTGGGCAGTGGGTGATAAATCAATTCCAGGTCATGTTTGCCTCTAGTGCCCAAATATCCCCCTGTTGTGGCCAAGGGAAAACTTCCCCTACAGCCCCGGGAAGGTTCTCTGAAAAAATCAACTAATAATTAATATGAAAAAAGACACAACAAGTTGTATTATTTAATGTGATGGGTATGGGGGATCAGTGCACGAGGGAATCACAAGAGAGTAATTTCCTAGTGGGGTACGGAGCTTATATACTCCTCTTCATAGGGGAGGTGGGGGATGGAGGAGTGAATGATTTTTAGGGGGAACAGTGGGTTTGGAGAACACACAATAATAGCCTAGGACAGAATCTGCTGGGCCTGCAGAGAAGACAATGAGTGGCAAATGATTCTCTTCAAAATACTGAATGGGACCAAAATAGAAGACAATGGTCTGTGACAAAAGTTTGTCCAGGTGTGTTGACAAACTCCAGTTTTCCTTCCTGTGATATGAGTTAAGTTAATGAAAACTCAGGGAAAGGACCAGAGGTCATTGTCGTCTTTGGCGAGTCCGGACTTTAGGCAGATGAGGAAACAGCTTCATCCTGTGTTTGGAGAGTGGCAGAGGACTGAGACAGGAGGGGTGGGGAAGGTCAGAGGGACCTTCAGGCTGCTTCTTTATTCCAGCATGTCAAAGCACCATATTTGGGGGTAACAGCTTTCTGCACCCCAATAGTGCCATTTCAAGGTCTTGTCCAAGTAGGAGCCAAGAAGAGCAGCAGAACCGGGACTTGGCCCATGAGCTTGAATCACAACTCTGTCCTTTGGTCAGTTTCTTATCCTCTCAACCTCACTCTCCTCATGTGTTAAATGGGAAACTTTCAAAGAGTTCTTTTCAGTATTAAATTAGATAATGTATGTGAAACACATGGGACGTGAGCACAGTGTTCTGGATGCTCAGTAAGGAGGCTGTTTTTAATCCCACCTCAACTGGGTTTAACAGAGGATATAAATTATCTCCATACTGAGCTGTGGCTAAACTCCAAATGGCCTGTTAAACACCCATAAAAATTGTATCATTGTCACATAGGCTGTAAGTGCCACCAGCCTATTTTCCAGAGCCCTGGATCCTTTGCGTTTCTAAGGTAGACACATACAATCAGTATAGACAAGCTGTTGACCCCACACAGTCAGACTATATATCTAATATATCTAAGGCTCCAGATAGCAGCAAGAAAAAGCTTTGAGGTCAGACAGCCAATTAGGAAGGTGAAGAGACCAGGGCATGAAGAGGAAATAGAATCTGCTAGACAGAAGACATTACCTAGTCTTAATAGGGACCTATTTTTGCTTCTGAGACATGATGTCACTTGTGGTGAAGACCTTGAACTAATTATCAAAAGGGAGGGAAATATAACTTTCAGTATTTGGAAGCTAGCCACCAGCCCATGGTTCCTTATGTATAATTCACACAATTCTAAATATAAAACTGCAATGAAAACATCCAAAGCTTCAGGAAATTGAAAGTAATTCTGAAAACTTTTTCCTTTTTAGTTGCAGAAGATTCAGAAGTTTATATCTTGAGAATTGACATTTTTTTCTTCCAGTGGTAAGTTCCAGCTGCTCAATTCTTAAGAATTTGGGTACCAGCTTGCGAAATGCTATGTGGCCAGTCACCATGTGCTTGACAACTACTGCACTTCACTCTGAGAAGGTATGGTGTGCTGGAGAAAGCATCACACTGAGTCAAGAGTTGGGCTGAAGTCCACTTTTTGCTACAAATCTGCCTTATGAGCAGACTTACCCCCTGGCCTATTTCTTTAGTTAATAACGGGTTGAACTAAATAACCCCTTGGGAAACTTTTGATTTTGGCAATATTGGACTTTGAGATCTAGATGAAGGAAGTAAATCATTGGATTGTTTTGCATAAAAAATACCATCTATCTCTCTCTGCTCTGTCATTCTGCTATGTGAAACCCCTGCATTACTGTCACCACCGAGGCTTTCACTAGATATGTTCTCTGGACTTCGAACTTTCCAGCCTCCAAAGCTAGGACAAACAGATACAGGGCCCCACCGGGGTCCTGAGGTACGGATCCAGGAGAAGCCAAACAGCTGCAAAGAGGCATGCTGCTGCCAGGTAAAGAGCACGCGGAAAACACCATTTCCATGCAGGTAGCCCACCATAGCCACTGCAGTTGCCACAGTTGCTGCCACCATGCTGATGGCACACCAGACACTCAACTGCATTGACACAAGGAGTCACCAGCGGAGACCAAATAAGAAAAAAAAAAAGGTCCTCTCCACAAAGCACACTCCAGAGTAATGGAAGAAGCATCTGCTATACATAATAGTGGGGGACCTGAACACACGTCTCACAGTACTGTACAGATCATCTAGGCAACAAAGCAACAGAGAAACAGTTCATCTATCAGGAGAGAACAAACTTATGGTTATTAGATGGGGGAGGGGAAGAGAGATGCGGAGAGATTGGATAAGGGGCATAAAGAATAAGTATGATTTGTAATAATGTATGTGCTAATCAAAAATTTAAAAGAAGAATTTTAAAATATCTAATTTTTAACTCTTAGAAAACTAAGGAATAGATTACCTTTAATCCCACTACCCAGAGTGGGGTTTTGATCTTCCCCTGTGCTCTGTGCATGTGTGTGACCAAGGTCATGCGGTATAGTTTACCACCTTTTTGTTTCACTTAATTTGCACTTTTCCATGTTAGTTTCCGATAATTCCCAATGGTTTTAATATTTTTTTAAAATGGACATTCACCATTCCACTATTGATGGAGTTTGCAGTTTTTACTTACAGTAAATATATCCTAGGTATATCTTTGAGTCACTGGTTCTTTTCCTGATAAATGCCTAGCAATGGAAGGGGGTGAATGTATGAATTATGTAGTTTTAAATTTTGTGGAGAAAATGTATTTTAGCAGATAGTAATAGTCAAGGTTATTCATGTTTATATTAAAC